CCTACACGCTTCAGCAAACATGTACAGCTTTTACCACCCATTTATTTTTTTCATTTCTCATGTCTTGAAATCACTGTTTTGAATATATCATATGTCCCTGCATAAGTATTATGTAGGAGATCTAGTTACCATGCAACTTATGAAAACTTCCAGTCCTTAATTTTGTTGATTTACTTATTTCTTAACATACTTTTTAACAGACTAGTGCAGGTAATATTGTATTGCTATACCAACATTTTCATGGAGTGGGAGCTCAAATAGGACATCTGTTCCTATCAGCTATTTTGACAGACACAATTGGTTTAGGAACTGAAAAGAAGTGATCACCACTGTGACTTGATTGCATGTCCTAGGGAAAAATCACGTCATTCTGATCATAAAGATAAGACAGTGTGCTGAAAAATTCACGTTTCCCATGACTAGTTTTAAATGATCGATTGTGAAAAGCTGAAGAGAGTAAATAAATTCTCCAGTAATTTGGGTCTTAGAGTAATTTGCAGCATTTATGAGAGATGTCTGACAAATTTAGGGCATGTCTGCATTTTGTGTGTGCATAGCTGTGTGTGCAGATCCACCTAGTGGAGGTACAGCAGAAACTACAAGAAAATCTTTTTTTCCCTGCTAGCTTTTCTTTCCCAGACTGTATTAGCTAAACTGATAAAGGTGCCATTCCTCAAGCAAAACTTTGTGTCTGGGTTTGATCGGTATCACAGTAGCAGCTGCAAGGTGCCGCATCTTTCATATTCCTCACTGGTGTAAGTACGTTGACAGAACTTGGTAGGCTAGGATAATTATATCTGGCAAGAATAAGAAATTAACTTGGTTTATATCATTTGCAATTTAAAGTAAAATACGTTCAGAATCCACAGTCTGAAATACACTTTCACATTTATCTTCTTTCTACAGGAATGAGCTGGAACGCCAGTTTCTTGAGCTGTTGCAGTTCAATATTAATGTTCCCTCCAGTGTTTATGCCAAGTATTACTTTGATTTGCGTTCCTTGGCAGAAGCAAATAACCTGAGTTTTCCTTTGGAGCCTCTCAGCAGGGACAGGGCATATAAACTTGAGGTAAGACACTTTCTTTTTAGATTGCTCAGAGTTGAATATGTAGGGGGATTTTGAATTTTTGCATTATTTCTCCCTTCTCCCATCTCTTCCCAAATATTCCCATGAGATATTAGAATATCATGTGCCCCAATTTTCATAACTGTTTTGTTTGTGCTTTGGGTATTCATGGATGTGGGGACAGCTTTTTGGCCCAATTTGCTTCATACCTTGTCTTGCTTTCCATTTCTTTTTCAGTTCCAGTTGTCTGAATTGGCCTTGTGAAAGTACCCACAAGCTTTACAATGACTGTTCACAGTCTGGTTTTGTGTGTTCATTTGGTTTCATAAAACTGATTATCCACCTTAAAGGACAGAATATTAACAAGTATTGCTGAAAATAACTATTCCACGTGCTTGTTATCTGCTACCACTCCACTTCACATGGATCCAAGTCTGTTATCTCCCGTGGTGCTTTTCTCAGTAATGGGAAAATGAGTGCGCGTCTTTAGTGAATAAATCATGAATGCTTATAAGACCTGAATGTACCATGTGCAGAAAGCACTGCGTTGGATGGTCTGGCCCTGTGAAATGCAGGGCACTATGAATTCCCACAGACACAGGAGGAATTTAAAATCATCGGCCAATTGTGGACACTTTGCAAGACAGGAATCTTTTTTTTTTTCCTGAGCTTTCTGATATGTTTTTCAAATAAGAGCATTATTGCCCGAGTGTATACATATTTTGTTACTAATTTTGAAATTTGTCATTAGGTACTAACTGCTTTTAACATCGCATGTCTTTAATTATATACCAGCTTTGCACTGGAGGTTGTTTGCCTGCGGGTCAGAGTGAGCTTTGCGTGTTCTGAAACTCCTAGTGCTCCTGTAAAACAGGCAGGCAGTACTATACACGTTTTTGTGGGGGGAAGTGGTGCGTGGGAAGGCTAATTGACTTGTTTGTGACTGTAATGGGAACAGAAAGTGGTGGAGAAAGAATCAAAGCAGATTTCACTAAAGTTTTGTTTCTCATTCCTTCTAATTATTCTTTCTAAATTTCACAGATAGGTCTAATAAGAATGTAACTTAATTCTGTGTGTGGAATGTAATGTAAATTGGCATCAGATTTTGTTTCTGTTGAAGAGGAAAAAAGACGAAAATTCATTGGGATTATAGTTTTAAATGAAAAGAGCTAGTTTACTAAGTGGTTAGATGGTGGGTATTGATAATAAGTGCTGTTTACATGTATTAAAATTGAGTGAATTACTTTTTGAAGAGAATTTAGTACAGTGTTTCACCACACTGCCAGTCTATATCGCACGCAATGCGTAACAGTGGGTTACAAATGAAGGTAATGGTGATAGCTCCTAAAACCTTAGAAGAAAAGAAAATAGGGAATGACTGTAAATACCCAGAGAAAATGGGTGGATCTTCTGTACTAACTAAAGAGAAGGTGTATTTAATAAGAAATAATGGAATCTTTTTTCAGTAAATCCATATTATTAAAATTTTTCCCATGTTGGCGATGTTTGCTGCTGCTAGCAGACGTGGGCTGTAAAATAACCCTGCTAGCCAAAGAGGATGTCTTCAGGGAAGAGGATGAGTATCTACTGTGAAACCAACTTGGTCTACCAGCTCCTTGTCTCTGTTCTGTGGCCAGAAGGAAGAGAACATGATGGGAACGACCTTGTTCTTTGGCAATACTTGGTTGTCTTTAGTGTGCCCTTGAAACTAGTTGACAGTGTAATTTATAGCCTAGTTCCTTGAGTACAGTTAAGCATTTAGCTTGCCAAGAGTTATCAAAATGCATTTGCAGCACTTTTCTAGGTCTATCGTGTGCTGTTCAGCCCAGAGTTCTCTGCTTTTAAAACAATTTCCTGAATTGTCAAGTGGAGTAGCTGTAGTACTGTCGTGGTTTAACCCCAGCCGGTAACTGAGCACCACGCAGCTGCTCGCTCACACACACCCCTGCCCCCAAGGGGATGGGGAGGAGAATGGAAAAAACCCCAAACTCGTGGGTTGAGATAAAGACAGTTTAATAGGATAACAAAGGAAGATAATAATAATAATAACAGCAATAATAATAATACAAGTGATGAACAAATGTAATTGCTCACCAGATGCAGAAAAAACCAACCCATTGTCCAGTCTGTTTCCAAGCAGCGATCCCACCTCCCGGTTCGCTTCCCCAGTTCCATCCGGAGCATGGCGTTCTGTGGCAGGGAATATCCCTTTGGCCAGTCTGGGTCAGCTGTCCTGGCTGTGCTCTCCCAGCTTCTTCTGCACCTGGCGGGGTGTGAGAAGATGAAAGTCCTTGAGTTCGTGTAGACACTACAGCTACCCAGCAACAACTAAACCATCAGTGTGTTATCAACATTATTCTCATCCTAAATCCAAACCACAGCACTATACTGGCTACTAGAAAGAAAATTCACTCTATCTCAGCTGAAACCAGAACAAATACCACGCAGGCTGTGCTGTTTTTGATACTGAGAGAAAAGCTGCAGTCTGTGATGAAAGACAACAGATTCATAGTGAATGTATGTATGCAGTGGAAGGATTTCCCTTGTCTGGTAAACTGAAAGGACCTTGCTCAGTGCTAAGATTTAAAACAACTTATTTACTGGCATTTGAGATCACAAAAGATCTTGCATAGAGAAATAGTTACGTTATAACACATTTTTGCTACTTTTGCATTTTCAAGCTATTTTATCTATCTAAAGCAGGAGTACTAGATCTGGCATGGCAGAATCTGTGTTGCTGTTTCTGCAGATACGAGGTTGACATACCTGTGATGGAAAAAAAACCAAACCCAAGGACAAGGCTAGTAAATACTGTTCCTCAGCAAATGGAAATGCTGGACAAGATCCATCAGCTTAGAGGTGTTATAAGAGGTTATAGTACTTGTTTAAAATGACATTGCTTTCTGGACCATCTGCAGTGGATGCTTTAACTTATTTAATGCTCCCACAATTGACACTTAAGAAGCAGCTTTGTCTTTTAAATGACTAAATGAAAGTAATTTTTTCTTACTTTTCATCAGCCTGTGGCCTAAATGTGTCTGGAGTTTGTTATACCAGTCCACCTCGTAGCCAGAAACCGTTTTCATGACCTCTCTTTTTTTTTTCCCCCCCATTGTATGGAATCATGCAAGTTAAAAATGGCAAATAACCTTTCATTAGATCATCCAGTCTGTCCGCCTGCCAATGCTGTTTGTTCCAACCAGCATATGTTGTAGTGCGTTTTCTCCTTCCTTTTAATTATGTCAAATGTCAAGGTTTCCTTTGCTTCTGCTGAGAACTGTTTTCTAATATGGGAGACTTTTCTGCCAAGAAGGTTGTTGGATATCCAACCTTAATCCGCTATTTTGTAGTTTCCTACTCTTGCACCTGGTTATTCTCCCGTGTACTGAGCTAAATATGAGTCAGATTCTGCTCTTTGGGGTAAGCCCACAAAACGTGCCTACCCTATTTCTGCTTGTGATCTTAGCACTGTGCTCATTTCAAGGCTCGATTTTGTAAGAGCCTTCATTAGTGCACTCCCAGTGTAACTGACTGTATGTTGTCTGAGCTTTTTATTGTTAGGATAGTGCTTGAGCAGGTACTTCAAACCCTTTGAACTATGTGCTATATTTTCTTGACCCTGAAGAGGTACAGTCCCATAGATCAAACACGCAAAAAAGAGGAGAGAAATATGTGAGTTACAAGTAGCGAAGTGTCTTTATATCACTCCAGCTTCCCACTGTCGCAGTGACTGATTGCAATCCGGCGTGTTTTGCATGTTCAGAACCCTCTTAGCCAAGAAGCAAAGGGAGAGCAAAATCCCCCCCGCTCTTTTGTCAGGAATAACCTGATTCATCTCTTTTTTCATTTTCCATAAATTAAGGAGAACCTCCATCATCCCAACTTCTGGTTGTTCTAGTGATTTATTTATTTATCACATTTTCCTTATGTAAAATCCTTCCAGACTTAGTGCTGTCTGTCCCAGCTAAGTTCTCTCTGGTTCGTCCAGTTGTCGGGGTGTTGCAGCACTCGCTGTTGTGTGCCTTTGTGCGTTCCCAGCAGTGCAGCCATAGCCAGGCCTGCTGCTCTCCTGCCCTGCCCAAACATGTGCATGTAGCCTTTCTCCCCCCCTCCTTTCTCCTTAACTGCCCCCTTCACCAGTGACAAAGTCTCACCTAGAGTCATATAACTCAACAGAGGAACTGACTTCTAGTTCTCTATGCATATATATATAAAATGGAAGAATATATATGTATGCATTTTTCTAGCTGATTACAGGTGTTACAGTCAAATCCAACAAAATTTCACATGATGGAGTAGTGTTGCTGGTTTTAAGAATGTTTTGATTTCATATGAGAAATGGTCCCTCGCAACTGTCAAAAATTGGTTTCTTTTTCCAGCAATAAAAACAACAGAAATTTCAGATGACATAAAGGTGTTTATAAGCTATTTGGATTTATTTTAACTGAAGGACAATAATGAATATTTACAGTTTTCTGGTTTTTGTCTTGTTTCCTCATATGTTACGCTAAAGTTGACTCACTACCTTCCCAAATAGACTCCAAATGTCAATTTTGTAAATTATTTGCAAATGAAGAGGCAACTTTAGATAGAGGATTGCTTTAAACAGCCGTCGGTGTTTCTTATCCGTATGATTAATCACCAGAGACTAGAGATGCTGAATATTAAGTGCTACTTCCAAGCAAAATTTCATTTTGTCTGACCAAGTGCCAGAACAGAAATTTTCCTATGAAACAGGCAATTTTGACGTGATTACCTTCTCTGGCTGTTCAATGCATAAGGTAATAGCCTGATTTGGCATCTGTAAGAAGCTGAGCTCCACCTCAGTATACCTATTTGCCAAGCCATGCCTTGGCACGTTATTCCATGATTAAACTCATTTCAGCTATTGGATTTTAAATTTGATTGAATTGCATAAACTTTCTTAGTCCGTTGAGTTCTTGATTAAACTAAAAAAATGTTATTAAGTAATTTTAAGTTACGGTCTACAGAGCAATGGGAATATTTGTGTTATTTTATTCAGTTGTTCTCTTTATGTGCACCAAGAAAGAAAACTATGTTCAAGAATGGTCCTAACAAAAGGAAATTCAGTTTCCAACTAAAAAGCAGCAACTGGTTTCTCGTTGATGGTGGTGGGTTTTGTGTTATTTTGATTTTGGTTTGGTTTTTTTTCTTTTTTCAAATTAACCAGGTTTTGTGGCTGGCTTGACCAAAGCGTTAGATGAACTTGCTCTCAGATGGATGAGTTGTGTGGTTCTGTCATACCTGCCTCTGGTCTTTGCAGGACTATTGAAATTACAGGGCTCTTCACAGCTACAAGTTACTGTGCTGTAAAAGTAAGGATCAAGAAAGAGAAAGATGATCAGTGGAGTCAGGCTGTTTATTTGTATTACCTTGTTTTATAGTCAAACACTTGTACTGGTTTTGTTTGTATGATACTTTTCATTAAACATCCTATCTTAAGACACCACTTAAAAGCATTCCTGAGTAAATAAAAGTAGTGGTTAAGTTCATCTGATTTTTTTAACTGGACCTTGAGTACTCCTTGCACTGAGCTTTCTCTGCAGTTCTGCGTGTTTGATTGCCAGAGTAACGTCCCTCCTGATGCCAACCATAGTCTGTCCCGACCATATAGACATGCTATTTTAGGGCTCAGTATATTTGTGCATAAGAGGTCCATAATAAATAATCTGTTTTAAGCGTGGATAAAAACAGTAGAAGAAACATAAAACATTAACGCCAGTGTAGTATAATAGGAATCAAGATTTGAATAACATTGGTCTCTCACTTCAGAAGGTTTTTAACTTTTCTGTGTATTTTTAATGCAAATTAAATTATTCTGAATATGACTTACGTTTCCCACTGACGCCATATAAGATAGCCTGATCATATAGAAATCACTGTCGTCTTCTGAAAGGCAAGTGAACATCAGCTCTGTAAGCAAAACAGGGAGAGTGTTCTACTGGACCATTTATCAGTGGAGAAAAAGATAATTATTACAAGGTTTTTTTTACCAATGAAGTGCTATATATGAGTCACCATATAGCAGTGGGTAAGGATTGTCAGCTGCATGGATGAGCTACGTGATGGTTAACCTGTAAAGAAAAGGCTTGGGATATGCTCGCCGAGTCCTTCAAAAGCAGCTGTGGTGGGCAGTGCGGTGTCAGTGTGTTTCTTTTGAGATTAATGAAATGCAAAAGAGGGTTTGGAGAGAAGCTCTTTACTATTTTGCTTAAAGAAATGACTTTTGTAATTCTACCTTTATGTAGAAATATGCATTTAGCTTTATTTTACCCGTACAGCTGTGGTCAATGCAATTGAGATTTTTTCATTCTTTTGTCTTACAGGCCATTTCCCGCTTGTGTGAAGATAAATATAAGGACTTCAGGAAAGTTGCAAAGAAACGGTCAGTCAGTGCTGACAATCTGACTGTGGTTAGATGGTCCCCTGCTATTATCTCCTAACAGAGGAGACTGGAATATTCCTATGACGTACTGTTTCATCCATCCATTTTTTTCGGGGTGGGCTGGGGGCGGGGGGCTAAAGAAAAAAGACTTTTGATTTTTTTATTTTTAAATCTGTCAAGCTGCCTTTACAGTGCCTCCCCATTGTGTAGCACACGAGTAAAATACCTAGCAGAAGGAGAAATGGAGAAATCAGTGTTCGGGAGAGAAGCATGGGCAACAATTTTTTTTCTCACTTTCGCTAACAGCTTTACCCTTTTCATGAGGAAACAGCAAATCAGGTGCTTGGAAGAAGAAACAAGAAAATGAAGTAGAGGCAGTAAAATATTTAAGAAAACTGTGCCATTTTCTAATACGCTGTATTCATGAAGAGACATGGCAGCATGAAAACAAACTATGTAGTCAGATGACTGTGCACTAGAGGAATGAAGTTGGGAGAGTTCCATCCTAAAGGTTTCTCTTAATATCTATTTTATTTTTTGTTGTTTGTTGCATTCCTCATTGCTGCTCCCCAGGATAAATTCTTCCCCTTGCACAGCAGCAAATACGAAGTCTGTATTTACAGTAGCACAAGCCCCTGAATAAATAGCGTTGGGTTTTTTCACTGCACTTTTCTCTGTAAGCTGTCTTATTAGCATTATTCTTCATAATTATTATACATATGTTATATTTCTTGTATGCCTTTTATTGTATTTCAAAAGAGAGAACTTGACCATAGTGCTGAACCAAAAGCGTGTACAGGGATCAGAAGATCTTCGTAATTTCATGACGTGTTTTATTTATAGTATACTTGGGTGCGTGTGCCTTCCTGAGTTCTTGGAATCATTTATTTTTCCTTAATATAAAGATACAGTTATTAAAGTATTCAGATGATGATGATAAGACTTGGGCCAAATCTCCGAAATGTGCAACAGATCTTGTGATCCTTTTTGCGGATTTTCATATCATTAGAAGTTTAACGGAGTTCATTTTGAGGGAGATTTTTTTTTTTTGTATGGCCTGACTAGTTCATTGCTTCACCTCCAGGTCCATTGTTGCAAGCAATATTCTCAATTTTTATATGTTTACTTTAAATCAAAGTGAGTCTGTTTGTATAAAATAAAAAATCATAAAAAAAATTGTTCCAGTGAGAAGACCTGTAGAAGAGCAAAATGGAAATCTTAACAAGGTATTTGTCACAAGTAGATTAGATTTTAAAGCTAAAATACAAACCCTCATGTTTTTCAGCCTAGGTGCTTATAGAAATTAAAAGTAAGCAAACTGTGAACGTAATTTTCAACTCTGACTATTAAGCTCTTCTCTTGTTGTTACTAGTTCCCTCTTACTGTGGCTGTTGCCCCCTTGGAATTTGTAAGAACCTTTTCTAGAAAATAACTTGTCAGTATAAGCATCTTTGCTTTATAACGCCCC